TGATTTTGATGGGTTTTAAATTTTAATCCTTTTTTTTTTGCTTAAGTACAGTTATAGCTTCTTCTTCTTCTTCATCTTGTTTTACCCTCTTTCTTTGTGTTCTTGCTTTTCATTGTTTTTGTTTGTGTGTGTGTTGAGCTTCTGTTCTTTAAGAATGAACCTCGATTGTTTGTGGAGAAAAGTGAAAATTTTGTCTGATAATGAAGAAACTCATTTTTCTTGAAGGGGCTTAGAAGGGTTGCCTTAGATCCATGTAACCCATGCTCCATGTGGCAAAAAGTTAGCATTTTTAGAGGGTTTCCTTATGAATCTTGAGTTGTTTGGTTTTTTCCCTCTTCTTGAGTTTGTCGTTTTTTCTTTTTTATTTTTATTTTTATTTTTATTTTTTTTTTATCCCAGATTATATAAGGGTTGGTAGTGTAAATTGTGTTTTGTACTCTTCAATTCTTAAGCTTTTGAATTTTCTATCAGTGGAAAATTTATATCCTATGTTTAACGGCTAGATCTAATTCTAGAGATCTCTGTTCTTTTGTATCATGTTCTCTGTTTGTTGGTTAAAACTATTTTTTGGTGCACCTTCTCTGGATCATATGTTATTTTGATTCTGTTTAGTTCTCCCTATGAAGACCCTCAACAATGGAAGATACTTATTCAGTTGCACTCGGCTTAAATAGCCTCGCTCGTTTCTAGTCCTATGGAAATCACACGAATCGAACTACAGACCGATACGACAAGCCCTAATACATCAGATCCCGAAATGGTTATGAACGAGACGGTTGAAGATAAAGGGAAAACCGATAATTTAGCTAAAGATGTTCGAGAAAGTGAGGAAGATGAAATAATTCTCTCGGTTGTGAAAGACTCTAGTTTATCGACTAGTGTAGAGCTAAGTGTGCCTTTAGATGCTTCTTTAGAGACGAGCTTACCGATTGCTGTCGAGATTGAAGGAACCGAGACCGGACAAATACTTGCGAAAGTCATTAGTGTCGAGGAGAGAAGCGTAAAAACGAGATTATCCGAGAATGTGGTGATTAATGAAGCTGATAATGATAAACAAAATGAAGGGTGCTCGAGTGGGCCCACAATTAAGTCTTCGGTTGTTACTGTTAAGTTATCGGGTGAAAAAAAGGACTCGGGCAAAAGCGGTGTGAAGAGTGTCTTCGAATTGGATTGTTTGCCTCTTTGGGGTTCGGTTTCGATATGTGGGCGTAGGTCTGAAATGGAGGATTCGGTTATGGCTGTGCCTAATTTCATGAAAATTCCCATTAAGATGTTTATTGGTGATAATGGAGTTGATGGGATAAGTAAGACTTTGAGTCATCTGACTTCGCATTTTTATGGGGTTTACGATGGTCATGGTGGATTTCAGGTACGTAATATTCTCGAAAGTTGAAATTGGCGACTTTTTAACTTGAATCAACAATTATAGCAATAATTTTTTCTTTTTTTGTTTTGCTCTTCTCAAATGGTGAACTCTCTCATATATGTTAAAAAAGTATTGTTTTTAGGCTCATGAGATGTGAAAGTAAAATAAGTTTTAGAAGTGTTTTCATTTAGAGCTTGCATGATATTAGTAATGTAAACTAGAAAATCCAGCTTAGTGTTGAATCCCGTTTCGACTGCTAATGTATAAATTTTTGTTTTTCTCTATCGCTTTAGATCATTCTCAAACTGTTGAAAAATTAGGTGCAATTTTCTTGTAGGTTGCGAATTATTGTCGTGACCGAATCCATTTAGCCTTGGAAGAGCAGTTGTTAAACGTTAAAGATGTTACGGTTAGCGGGATTTCTAAAGACCCTCGGCAAATTCACTGGGAAAATGTCTTCACAAGTTGCTTTGCAAAAGTCGATGAAGAAGTTAGCGGAAAAACGAGCCGAGCTTTTTCACCTATTGCCCCTGAAACAGTTGGTTCCACTGCAGTTGTTGCAGTTGTTTGTTCGTCCCATATTATAGTGGCAAACTGTGGGGATTCAAGGGCGGTCCTTTATCGTGGTAAAGAAGCCATTGCATTGTCGATCGATCATAAAGTAAGTGGGTTTTTTTGTAAAAAATGAAGTCTTTATTAGAGGTTATTTTGGGAAATTAGAGTAATTAATGTTGAAAATATTGTGGGTGTATCTTTTTCAGCCGAGCCGAGAGGATGAATATGCTAGGATTGAGGCGGCCAGTGGGAAGGTCATACAGTGGAATGGTCACCGCGTTTTTGGTGTTCTTTCAATGTCAAGGTCTATTGGTATGTCAATTATGCAGTCGTTTTTTTAGAGTTAGGTTCTATTCTTTCTTTTTTTTTTCCCCTACGTGCATTTGCATGGAAAGACATGTTTTCTCATCATGATTGTAAACGAGCAGATAGCTCGGGCCCTTAACTAGCTTATGATCAAGCCTTTAACGAGCCAAAACTGTAGAAAATACTTAAAAATCATTTTTTCGAGCTTTATCGAACCAAGCCGAGCTTGGCTTGTTAACTGAACGAGCTTTAAATGAGCTGGAGCTCCTCTCGTTTGATAAACGAGCCGAGCCAAGCTCACGAGCGGCTCGTTTAATTTAACAACTTCTCTCAATTGGCTGCAGGGGTAGATATGGAACTTTTGATGATACTTCGACGAACTTCTCGACTATGTATTTCTAACTTTTCTTTTTTTCCTTTTGTTCTCTTGGCAACTAGACATCAACAATTGGTTGATAAAATTATGCAGTTA